TGTATTTTAATAACTAAAAGAATTACATTTTGTGGAGATGGAGTTGGTTTTGTCTAGTTTAAACCCCTAAATCCTAGCTATTTTTATAGTGTTGAAATAAATACGATTTTAAATATTTATTTTGTACAGCATTAGTCAAAAGTGTACTGCTCAACTGAAAACTGGGTTTTTCGTTTCCTTGCATTACAGGGTATTTAGCAGAATTTTCAGATTTATTGGAACCTGACAGGGCTGTACCACGAGTGATTCTGCTATGGCCTCGAACTTGCAGCCTCTGGGCTGTCAACCATGCGCATTCGCACCCACACCAGCCCATAACTGCATTTTTGATAAAACAGAATACTTCATAAAAAGTTTTTGCTCAACAGGTTTTCTTTTTTTCATAAAAAAGTCCAACTACCCAAAACCAGAACCTTCAACCAAAGCTCATCAAGAAACTGAATGTTTCTAAGGGGAAAGGTTTAAAGCAGTGATTCTCAACCAGGGTATTGTGGCACCCTGAGTTATTGCCAAACCCTTTGAAGGGTGCGCTGCAGTGTGAGGAGATAAGCAGATAAATGGAGGCTCAGGCTTGTTTGTGCCTGGCCAATCCCCTGCCAGACCCTCTACATAAAGAAGTAAGCAGTGTAATAGGTACATTAGTTTTTGAACCGGGGTGTTACTCAATTCAAAAAATTCTTAAGGGGTGCCAAGACCAATAAGGGGTGCTTTGAGTTCCAAAGGTCAAGAACCACTGGTCTGAAGGCTCTAATTCTGGAATTAATTTGGACTATGCTAAAGACCGCATGGAGCTCTGGCAGAGGAAGTATGGAAGCACAGAAGGAACGTGAAATATGGGTTCCCCACCGGTGATAGTTTCCGAGGTCCCAGCAAAAAATAAATTTGCATGAATTTTTATTTAGCAAATAAAATACCCTACAGGAATTTTTAAAATAATATTTTTCATTCATATATTCTACCTGTCGTTCCAAAGCAAACCTCTTCATCATCTTCTCTTCTGGGCTTATTTTGGAATTATACTCAGCAAAACGCTTATCTTTAAATACATTAGATTTTTCCCTTTCTTTGTATTCTTTTAGCAAAGTCTGTGTGCGCTAAAAAGAAAAAGGAAAAGAGAGATCAAATTAAAATCTTAACAAGGAGCATATCTAAAACCAAGGTTTCTATAAATATCATATTTACTCCCATACCATACACCTTCCACAAAACCAGCCTTTCAAAAATAGGTGCATGGCTTAAACTGGGAAACTAATTTTTCTTTGCTGCCATAGAAGCAGAGTGGAACAGAGCAGACACTGTGACTCATGGCTACCAAGATGGCTGTCACTTCATCCTGGAACTGCAAAAGGAGGGGCAGAATCCAGTGTTAAAACTCTCACAACCACTGGTGAGGCTGTAGCTTTTGGCTGAAGAGCCAATGAGCTGTGTGAGGATGGATAAGCTGCTGCATACAATTTGTAGAACCTTGACCAGACTTCTGGTATGGAAACAGTGCTTTATTATTTACAGTAGAGGTGTTAAACTCACCTTATGACCTGGCTGGATCTGAACCATGGTGCTGCTTGGGGGCCAGATCCAACCGCACATGGCATCAGCAGCAATAGCTCTGACACCAACTTGTGGCACACAGCACAACTTCAGCTCCCACCACATTGCCTAGGCTGGAGCTGCTGTCACCGCAGTATAACCTGTGCTATGACAGCAGTTCTAGCTCTGACGTGGTGCATACAGGAGCTTCAGCATAGATGAGCAGCAGCAGGGCTGATGGTAGAAGAGGTAGGATTGTGGCAGCGGTGACATACAAAGCAACTAGAGGGCAACTGGGGCTATATCATCCCTCACTTGCCCTCCTGCTACTGATCATGATGTCTACTGGGGCACCTGGATTCAGTGGCAGGCCATTTCCCACGGCCAACGCCGCAACTTCTGGTGGTCCATTAGTACTGGTGAGCTGGATAGAGGCTGATTTACAGGAAATTATATAAAGAATTATTTACAGTAAGTAAAGCAGTAACAATCTTTTACTGCCCTTGCTAGGTTCTAAGGCAGGGATGGGCAATTATGTCAGCTGGAGGACTACTTATGGTGACCTGTCAAGGGTTGCACACGTAAAATCTTAAAAAGATATCATTTTAACAAATTATAGATAAAAAGCAAACCATATACTAAAACATCAAAATCTACTATAACATTTAAATTTTATTTCAAAAAATGATTTTTGTCATGATTTATCTTTTTGAGTAATGTATATAGGTGATTCCATAATAGCTCCAAATAAAGCTTTACTCTTGTATATTGTGTATGGGAGAGTGTGTGGGGGGTGAGTGTATGGGGTGTGTGTGGGAGCAGGTGCACATGAGTGTAGGGGCGCTGCCCGTGCACTAGGTTCCAGGAGCCAGCCAGGAGCGAGAGGAGGCAGCGGGGTGTACAGCACACCTCACTCTTGCAGTGCAGGTACAGTCCACACCCTGCCCTGACCTACAGCTACTCCCATGGTGCTTTGCATGGGGCCAAGCCCTGGCCACTCCCACTCAGGGCAGCCTGCACCATGCTCTTGCCTGCACCTGTTGGCCCTGAGCAACTCTCACAGATTTCCAATGGAGCTAAAGCTGCCCAGGTGATACTTGGTTCTCCCCACCTCCAGCAGCTTCTCCTCCTCCTCCTGCTGCACCACTCTAGGCAAGACGGGTAGCTACAGCTGGGTGGGTGGCTCCTGTCCCAGCATGTACGGCTCCAGGCTGCCTTCCACCCACTTGGCCACCTGCAGGTGGATGCTCATTGTGCTGGGCAGGCAGAGTGGGTGGAAGGTGGCTGGGAACTGAAGCTAGGGCAGGGCCTGCCTGGCTGCAGCTTTCCCCACATTCAGAGCAGCACAGCACGGGCGGGAGAAGGAGCTGAGCAGTACAAGGCCGGCTGCAGCTACACTGGGAACAGCCTCACAAGGGAGCTATGTGCATTGGCTGGGGCCAGGGCTGTGCTGGCAGGCACAAGCATGTGTGTGCTGACCTGGGTGGGAGTGGGTGGGGCTCAGCCCCAAGTGAAGCATTGCAGGGGCAGCAATAGGTTGGATATAATCAATTGGTGGGTGCCCAGTGGCCAGATCCAATCAGTTGATCGGTTGGATCCAGCCTGCGGACCATATTTTGCCCACCCTTGGTCTAAGGCCTAACCCCCTTGCTGTCCTGCCACACCAGGAAAGTCCTGCTGCATCACCCAGACTGTTTCCTGTGGTGCTACACTTCCTGGGCACCCTGTTTCCAAAAGAACTTACTTTATGTCCAACTTTCAAGTGACCAAGAGCCGGACGACCCTCAAGTGCATAAGAGCAAGCCACTGGGCCTCCCCAGGCTGCACGCCCCATGGATATCCCCCACACATTGCATATCTGCAGCACCCCCACACTGCTACACCACGTGGCCACAACCACTCCATTAATTCACTGCCTTTCTTTCTGGAGCAGGGAAAATCCTTGTGCACATCCTCCTGAACCGTCTTCTACCTCTGGCTGAGGAAGTCCTGCCAGAATCTCTATGGTTTCAGACCATCCTGTGGGGCAATTGACATAATTTGTTGCCCACTGGGTACAAGAACAGCATCATGAACAACATCAGGACCTGTACATGGCTTTCATTGATCTTACTAAGGCCTCTGACTACATCAACCACAAAAACTTGTGCAAAGTATTGGCCAGATTTAGATGTCCTAAAAAGTACATCAAGGTCCTGAGGTTTCTCCACACCCAGATGACTGCAACTGTTCTACGTAGCGGATCGGAGACAGATCAGTTTGTCATCCAGGCTGGGGTGAAGCAAGAATGCATCATTGCCCCAACTTTGCTCTCCATTTTTTTTGACATTTCATCATTTTTATGACATCCGGTTCTCATTGAGGGCTGCCCTCCTTCCAGAATTGACACTAAATACCAAATGGACAGACTGGGGCATTTTCACTCAAAGACCAAGGTGCTCCAAACAACCCAAATGTCTTTTACCTGCAACCTGCTGACAACAGCACTATCGTCGCGCACAACAAGGAAAACCTCCAGACTGCGCTGGATCTCCTTGGAGGGGATTACCGAACTTCGGGCTTCTCTCTCAACATTGAGACGCCCTTTCAGCCTGCCCCAGATCATGAAGGTGACCTCTGCCTCCAAATTACCATGGATGGAAAGACCCTGGAGGTGTCGAGTGCTTCCCCTGCCCCAGTGGCCGCCTCAGGGAGCGAGCGGAGATGGACTGGACAGGTCCAGGCAGGACTGGTCCCACCTGCAGCAGGCCGAGGGCTAAATTCCCCCGGACCTCTTTCTCTATGAGTCTAGCGACGTGGCTGGCGCCGTCCAACCCCACGGGTGCCACCCCCGGGACACACGCCACCTCCCTGCAGCCCCACCGGAGCCCCAGCCACTGTGCAGCCGGTCCCGCTCACCTTCCTGAGGGCCTTGGAGCGGGAGATGCCAGGCAGCCCCACGTCGTGCTTGGTTCGGCGCCCCAGGACACTGAACTTCTGCTTGTTCACCTTCACCTCGAACGGGTTGTTCCTGGCCTTGGCCATGGCGGTGGCCGTGGCTGACCTCGCGGGGCCCTTGCCCCTGGCCTTCCCCATGGCAGGCCCAGCTGGAGGCTCCCAAGAGAGCGAAGGGGCTACGCTAAGCAAAATGGCGCCCGGGGGAGCGCGGCCCGCACTCCGTCAGCTCCCGCGAGAACCCCGAAATCGCGCGAGGCCCCCTCGGTATCCCCCAGCTCCTGCCTTCCTCCCCAGCTCCCACCACCACG